TGTGTGTGTGTGTGTGTGTGTGTGTGTGTGTGTGTGTGTGTGTGTGTAGAGGGGTCAACGTGACAGAGAGCTGGGAGCAAAGTTTAAAACTAAAGCACAACCATAAAAATGCACAGATGCCCCTGCTGTAGTCGGGAACCCCGTATTTACCTGGAAATCGTTGACAGCCTCCGCTTATTCTCACCAGAAATAAGTTATTGAAAAGACCTTAGTCATAAACATATCATAAACCAATTAAATAATTCCAGAATAAAAATCTTACCTACAGGCAGCTGGGGTTCAACAGTTGCTCTCAACAGAGGAAGTAGGAGTCAGTGGCCTTTTACATGTAGAGATTGTTTATTTAGCCCTTTTTAAAAGGTCTTGAACTCCAGAGGTTTAAGATTAAGTCCAATCCAAGTGTCTGAAGGGGAAGAAAAAAAAAAAAAGGCAAGAGAGAAGGCAAATAAGAGAGGAAAAGAATCCCAGCTGCTGGGTGGTGCTACTGTTCTGAGAGCATTTGAGCTATTTTCAGTATTCACAGCAGCCGGAGTTGTCTGCAAAGGGATGAAAAAGCCGTGCCTGAGTGGCTACCTCCCTCCCCCTTGCCCCACGTGGTGGTGGTGGGGGGGTGCACGCACCAGGAAACCCACAACAACTTGGTTCACCGTACAACTACTCATTTAAATTTTGGGGAAAACTGCCAGCGCTATTGGAAATGACAGCAAAAAAAAAAAAAAAAAAAAAAAAAAAATCTTGACTGAAATCTTAAGGAAACACAGTGCCTGGCCATAATCCTCAAGTTTTCAGAATGACTTAACCTGATTTGTTGACACTAAGATGGACTATGTGTGCCTTCTTGAGAGGGAAGAGGTTTCTTCTGACATTTCCTCACTTAGGTGGGTCTTAAAAAATATTTTAGATCTCTCTGTTCTCACCCTATCCTTCTGAAGACAAATGGTTTATTTCTAGCACGCACCTAAATTTCCATTTTCATCAACTATGCTATTTTTGAAAGCTACTGGGTTAAGCTGTTGACATTTCTTATCTGTTGGCAGAGACTGGGGACCATTCAGTGACACGATGAGACAGACACGGATCCTTTGCTTCTGCCTCCAAAGAAGTGATTCAGATTGGGCCGCCAGCAATGACTAGCAGACTTTGCGCCTTCCTTTTGTTTCTAGAATTATAAATTAAGATCTGGGTGTTCTGTGCACTCATTCATTCAGCATTTTATGAGGCAAGTACTTCTGAGCCTCCTCTCTGTCACATGTTCGGAGAATACCATAGTGGGGACAAAATATTGTCCTTGCCTCAGAAGGTGTATAGCACAGAGAGGCAGCAAGAATAAAGAGAATTTGTTGTAATCGTTGATGGCTTCTTTTTCACATGAGGATCTCTTCAAACCTTAGCGACTGGAGATCAGGATTTCTTTCTACTGTGACTGAAGGAAGATACACGATGGGTGGTCATCAGACCAACTTCTGGCTTCTGTGGTTTACTCTGCATTGTACAACACCCCTTAGAAGGAAATTTGTTCCTTCCTACCCAAGGAAACATAGTTAAGTATTAAATCCATGTAGATAAAACCCCTGAACTCTTTCATCTCCCTACTCCTGTAACATAGGGGAGCGTCAACAGTGAGAAAGTACTGCTGAGAGCTAAGAGGAGGTGGGAGAAGATTCTCTGATCCTTCTTTAGCCCAGTGTGGAAACGACTTGGATGTATTTTATAACGAATGTTAGGAAGGGTGGTTACTAGAGGCTCAGATCAGATCCAATTGTTTCTTTGCAATTAAAGAAAGACACTGCAACTGATGATAGAAAATACTGAGGATTATGCATGATCTCTAAAGAAAAACGGTTATATGACTGCTTTTTCAGGTGTGGTAAGATAGTGAAATCCTTCAGCTAGCCTACACTTAGATTAAAATTAAATTAAATTAAAATTTGTTGATTAAAATTTTAAATTGAAATTAAAAAAGAACTATCATGTAAGTTTGAAATAGCTAATCAAAATTTTTAAAATAAGAGTAACTTTAAAAAATGGACAGCAGAGTTTTAGGAGATCTCTATAGGATAATGGATTTTTCTGTTCACTTATTTTAAATGGTCACACTTTACTATGTCTTAAATGCCTGTCCATTTAAAAGGAAGATACGTACTTTACTTGGTCAAAAATGATAGATTGTAAGGCTGGCAAATGCTAGCCTCAGATAGAAATTCTTTTTAATAGTTTTTACCTTTTCCTCCATATAGTAGTTTATAATGAAAAAAAATGCATTAAAAACTGGCTGTCCTTGAGAAACTATTGAAGTTAATAAAACGAAGACTACTAAGTCAACCATTATCTTTAAATTCCAACCTGCCTGCTTTCCACACCAGCACTGAGAGAAGCCCATTGCCTCATGTTTAACTATTCTTAGTCACTTTAGGTCATGGTTTGCAGTTGAATGGACAGTTTCTGACCCTGCTAACTGCTTCCATTCAGCATAAGCCCTGTGTTGCCATGTGAGTCACCATGGTCCCATCATGTCATTCCCCAGTGATCCCAACTGTCCAAACAGTTAGCACCTTTCGACTGATTAGATGTCACAGAATAGTCCAAGTTGGACTTGGATTTTTAAAAATGAGAGGATAACGTATTTGGACTTTTCTACTCACTCAATCTACAATGACTTTTATAAGCGACTGATGTCTGCTATTATCACTGTTGTAAGTCTACGTAGCTGTCCAATATGGTGGATGTAGAGGCTACTGAACACTTAACATGTGGCTAGTCAAAGCTGGGATGTCATGTAACTGTAAAATGCACACTGAGTTTTGAACATAGTATGAGAAAAAGGAATGTAAACTATCATATTAATTTTGATATGGATTATATATTGAAAAGACAATATTTCAGACATCCTAGGTTAAATAAGCTGTTTAGTTAAAATTAATGTCACTTGTTTAATTTTATTTTTTAAAATGTGACAACTAGAACATTTTACATTAAATATGCATCTTGCATTATATTTCTGTTGTGCACTACCATCTTGGCCAGGGGTTCTCAAACTGTAGCAAAAGCAGTTACCTGGAAGGCTTGTTAATACGCAGATTGCTGGATCCCACCCCATTTCTGTTTTGTTGGTTTGGGGAGAGGCCTGAAATTGTGCATCTCTAACCGGTCCCCAAGTGATTCTTAACCACACTTTAAGAACCCACTAGTCTTGAGCCTTTCTATTTAAAGAGTGGTCCACGGACCAACATCAAAGTCATCACAAGATCACTTGGGATCTTGTAGGAAATGTGAAATCACAAGCCTCACCCATACCTACTGAACCAGCAAGTACATCTTAACAAACTCCCCAGGTTATATGTGTGCACATTGAAATTTGAGAGAAACTAATATAGAGTGGGGATTCTTTCCTGGGTACATATGAGGCTTATCTGGAAAATTTTTTAAAATACTAGTACACTGGACCCACCTCTGGAGAGTTTGCTTTAACTAATCCGGTTGAAATCTAACATATCTAATATCCGCCCCGCCCCAGGTGATTCTAATGGAAGAGCACTGAGGGTTTGGTGGGCAGTGGGACCCAGGATCCAGAAACCCAGACAAATTCTGGAGGGGCGGTGAGCAGCAGATGTTTGGGGACTGTCAGGTGCTAGGAGAAGAAGACTTGGACAGAACAGAGCTTGTGGAAACCACACAACCATGGGGTAGATGAGTGTTGCAGCCAGCAGGGGGAGACGGGCAGGAAACATCCCTGGCCTCTGCAAGTCTGACCCAAGTCCCCTGCTGCCCCAGGTTTATTGTTGCAAGGAGACTGGATAAGCCTTTGTCTCTGAGGGAGTAGAACACTAGGCCGAGTGTTCTCCGAGCAGAGATGCAGCCCCCCAAAATAAGAGAAGGACCTACTTAGGAAAAAAAAATGTCATGTAAGTCATGAGTGGGACCAGCAGCCATGTTAAAAGAGGTTCTTAAGCTCTCTATAAAGACAGGACTGGGGGGGCGCCTGGGTGGCTCAGTGGGTTAAAGCCTCTGCCTTCGGCTCAGGTCATGATCCCAGGGTCCTGGGATCAAGCCCCTCATTGGTCTCTCTGCTCTGTGGGGAACCTGCTTCCTCCCCTCTCTCTGCCTGCCTCTCTGCCTACTTGTGATCTCTGTCTGTCAAATAAATAAATAAAATCCTTAAAAATAATAATAATAAAGACAGGACTGGTTTCAGAAGCTCAATCTGCAATAATCTTTCAGAGACGAGGAGGGAAAAAAATGGACAGAAGCGTTGGAAGTCAGTTGAGTGGTACATTTCTTTCTCTCCTCCCATTGTGTGCAATACAAGTTGAGACAGCTCTCAGCTACGCAGTGGTCAAATTAAGAACATTCTATGCTAAGACACAGTTGACACAGACCAAACTGTCCCGGAGGATATCTGTATCTCAAGAGAGGATCTTGATAAATCATGGAATGCCCCATTGTTAGAACCACGAGGCAGATGGTGTTCTGGAGCAGAGAGACCTTTTGTAATTCTTCAGCACACCTTCGTTCCACCTTTAAAGGAGTGAGCACCTTATCTGGAATGATCTCCCCAGTTTTTCAAACCACTGCTCATTTTTTCAGGTGGTACCAGAACAACTGTGTGCTCCAGAGGGCTTCAGAAAAATAAAATCCTCACTGTAAAGGAGAACGTGGACCCACACTGGTGATATTTGAAACTCCTGACAACTATGCAAAGACTATTGTAGCTTCCTTTCTCACTTGATGATTTGGTTGTTTTCAGAAGACCTTAAAAATGTGTAATAATGCTTAAGAATAGAGAGTCTGGAGCCCATGTGTCTGGGTTTGAATCCTGGTCCTGCCACTTTCGTGTGACCGTGGGCCTATTGCTTCACCTTCCTGTGCCTCGGTTTCCTTCTCTGTCCTAGGACTTCACTGGATTATTGTGAGCATTAAAAGGGTTGTCTGAAAAGAAGGTAGGAAAGTCTGGCACAGCCTAAGTGCTATTGTTGGTATAACAACTAAAATACGGTAAAATAACTGAAGGATTCCAAATATGGTTTAGTAATTTTTTTTTTTTTGATACCACAGCGATTTCCAGGGACTTTTATGTGAGTGATCTCTTGAATACATGTGTTTTGAAAGCTTCTTTGAGAGTTGTTTAATTTTTTTTTCCCAAGAGAACTCAGAATTCTCAATTGGTTCCTCGTCACTTCCTATTATTTGCGAAGATCTCAGGAGGAAGGAAGTGAATGTACTTTTCCCATGAATATTGTTTTCTAGGTTACATTCCCCACCCCCGAAGTCCTTTGAAAAGTAAGTTATACTATAAATGTTTGAAGGCTTCAGTGGCCCATGTCAGTTGAGTAGCATTGTCTAATATTCCAGGAGAACAATGTATCATTCTCTTAGTCAAATATTTTAGTGTTCAGGGAAAGGCAA